TGGAGATGGGCCAGCCTGGGTGATTCGGCACCAGCAGCAGTGATTTTTAAAACTTCCCTTAAGAATCCATCCCAAACGGGCAGCAGCAGCCTCACCTCACCTGTCATGGCCATGCTGTGGGGGACAAGCTGCACGCCCAGCTCCTGTGCAGAGAGTGCTCTGGTACCTCCTTTCCAGAAAAGGGCTGATGTGGGAGACAGGGAATTGTGCAGCAGGAACTGTCCCAAGGACGTGGGCATCATCCTGTGGGCTAGTGCTACTGCAAAAGATAATCCTGGCCCAGCAAAAGGGAGAAGGGGTGATAGCAGGGGAGGCAGAGCTCAGTCTCAGGACCACAGCAGCATGAGGGCTTGTCCCTGCTAGCCTGAGCCATGTACTGGTAGGATAATGTAGGGTAAGCAGGAAAGCTGATGCTGGCTGCTCTGGAGCTTTGGATCTAGGTTGTTGCTGTTGGGAGGCACTGGATCAAGGCCGTAAAGAAATGAAAGCAATCTGCAGTCGATTATACCAATAAGATAAGGGAGATGATTAAAAAGAACATTAAAGTTATTACTTAGCAAGAGAAAAGTGGTGAGTAGGTCTGCCCATAGTAGAGAAACAATTATGCTGGCTTTGTTTTTGGAGGAGAAGTACTGCTTTTCTATTTTGGGAATCGAGAGGGAACCTTTCACCATCAAATAATTGATTCTCCTCTGTCCCTTCCCCAAACTGGTCATGGGATGTTATTGCATAAGCAGCTTTGTCCTTGAGCAAGGGCAGGTGTCTCTTGTTGAGATGTGGAGAGCAGAGCCAGTGGCAGTCCTGTAAACACAACAGAAGGCACAGTTCACTGGTCCTTGATTTTTAATCAAAAGGCAGAGTGGGCATTGATTGGCATCAACCATGAAATAAACTCGTGAGTGTTGTGCAGCTTCAAGTGCTCATTTCAGCGGATGTTGGTGACTTTTGGAGTCTGTCTGCTGAGTTCATGGACAGGTGAGGTGGTGTGGCAGATTCAGGACATCCATGTTTGGCTAAGATGTTGCTCTTGGCTGCGCTAGGTGGTGCACTGGTGACAAGCTGGTCCTTTCCTCTAGGATTCATCTGGCCACTGTTGCTGCTCTTTTCAGAGGATGTTTGGGGCTCCCCTGGCTTCATATCTCAAAATTCTGTCTGTAATGATTGTGTGGGTCAAAATCTCCTGAGAAAGCTCCTCCATGGAACAGCAGTTGCAGCTAAGAAGTAGCAAAGCAGGAAAGGCTGGTTACAGAAGTTTGTGGGGACACCTTTATGTCCATCTCATTACAGATGGGGAAACTGAGGCACGGAGCAATGTCTGGGTGTGTGTTCAGGGTCCTTCATGGGACTACCAACAACTCGGGGACTTTTCCTGCCTGCCCTGTGCCCAAAGCCCCATCAGTGGCTGTTGGTTGCATGCCACTGGGCTTTATCTGCCTCCTGTCCACATGGACACTGTGCTGAGCACATGGTGGTGTGTTGATTTGAAACCCACAGTGCCCCTGACCAGGTTTTATGCCCCAAGCCACGATAGCCAGACACTTTGCAATTCCCTTTAACCAATTTGTTTCCTCCTCTGTCCTACTCATCGCAGGGGATGTGTCTGTGAACCAACTTTACACTTCAACGTTGAAAAGCTCGACTTCGGTGACATTTCCTTTGGTGAGTGTTCCCTGGGCTTGGACACAGTGTGAGGGATCTGTGCATTCCAAAATGGACCGTTTGAACATGAAAGCATCCGTCACTCATGTTCTGCTACAGCAGCCTCTTCAGGGTGTGAACTCCAGGGCTGCTGGTGCCATTGTGAGATCAAAGAGTACCAAGGAATAGAAAGGGAGTATTTTCTGGTGTCTCTGTCCTGGTTTAAAAGACAGATGTCTGCCAAGGAAGGTGGGAATCTTCCTGGAATGGAAAGATTACTCCCTCCCTCGAAATTATTATCCCTTTGAAATTGCAGGGCTTCCAGGCAAAAATATGGGAAAAGGAGTAACAATTCTTTACTAGAATATATCAAGACAGCACAGACGAGGCAATAACAGAAGTTTCCAACCCGCCAAGTACTGTTTTCGCTCTTTGGTGTAGTTACAATCACAGGCACGAGGAGCTGTGGGCTCTGGCAGGGCAATGATCCCCTCCCAGCCGGCACCGGCAGGGAAAGAAGGAAGGCAATCTCTCCTTCTGCAAACTCACGGGCAGCAGGGGATCTCAGCAGTGCCAAACAGCAGCAGGCAGAAGCAGGGAAGGCAGGCAGGTTTGATCATGGTGCTGAGCTGCAGCCTAGTGAAGTGCCGGGGCCAAGCACACAACCTCCCGCAGCACCACGCGGTTGAGCTTCCCCATCTCTGAGTGGAAGGAAGGAAGGAAGGAAGGAAGGAAGGAAGGAAGGAAGAGTCTGCTCCCTGCAAAACCTCAGGTCCTACTTCACAACCACCCACGACATCACACCACAACTCCCAAAAAAATCTCGAATGGAAAAGCCCACCCCCACAGACAAACCCCCCAATACCCATTTCACCCTTCCCAGACCAAGAGGAAAATCCACTACAAAGCCTAAACCCATAACAATGAAGTTCATGAACTTTTTAAGAAAAGTAATTGCCTTTCCTGAGCTGCTTCTTCACCACTCTCCATCACCACTGAGGCACTTGTTAAGTTGCCTTTTGAATAAATGAAATAAGAAAGGCAACAGGTAGATATACTGTTCTGTAACAGGAGATTCATCCTGCTTAATCTGATTTCATTCCTAAGGTCTATTCAGCTGAAGGCAGCTGTTGTATCTTTGCCTTTCTTTAATTGCTGATTGTTGTCTGCATGTGGTGACCTCAGTCTCATTTGAGGTTTTGACATCTGTGTTTGTCCTTCTTGTGCCTTTCTTGCCTCCCTGCTGGAGCTGGCAGTGATCATTTTTGATAGGCATGGAGAAGGCCTAGACTGTGCCTGCAGTTGTTTTTTCCCCCCTCATCTGTGTTCAAATGACTCTTGGTGAGCAGGCCCAGAGAGAAGTCTCCTCCACATAGAGCTGGCCAGCCAAACCAGATGTCCACTGCAGAGCAGGTTGTGTCTGGGCTCTGCAGTGGACATCCCCACCATACGTGGCTGTATCTCTGGCTTGCCAGTATGGAAAGCAAATCTCAGAGCTAAAGCAGGATGAATCCTTTGCAGGCAGCAATCACAGTGAGCAGCATGGGTGTGATGTTGGGTGAGATGGGACATGGTTCTTAATTGCTAATCTCGAAGCAAGGCTCTGGTTTGCCTCCAGTTGAGTGGGCTCTGAGCTGTCACGTGCTCAGTCTGTTTGGCCCAAACCAAGAGATACCTTAAGGATCCTGCAGAGAGAAACTGCATTAGGATTCTTTCTATCATGTTTTAGTTCCTGATTCCATCCTCACTTTCTTTTGCTGAAGTTTCTTCTCAATGACAATTCACTGTTTATATATCTTGAAAA